TATGTAACTTTATGGCCGAAATCGATAAAGTTTTACAACAAAAATAATCAAATAAGAAGGCAAAGTTTAATATTTTTTTAATTGTCCTTTTCGTATCCTTATTGTGTTTAAGAATTTGACAATCCACAAGTTGTAAATTGGAAATGTGCTTCACAAGTGTGTATCAGAACTTCCTGATAAACCTGATATCAAAAACAACAATCTAATATTTTCTCTAAATCTTCGAGTGCATAACGAGACCCTATAGCAGTTTGAATTACAAGTAAGTTTAGAATTTAGTAATACTGAACAATCTTCAAAGTTATTGAAGGATTTCTCGTGAAATTTTTATCTTAACCTAAAGGAAGCTTAGCTGAGCCTAAAGTCTCTAGTTATTATTAGATTACCCCACTTCCAAATGTGGTTTCTTTTTCAATGTTTCTTTATGTACGTAAACAAATTTGTCTAGCGTTGTAATCTGAGCCGTTCTTTAAACTTTATTTGAATATAAAAGTTCGAAACATTTCAAACCTGTTTCCTTTTATTCAAAAGAAACAAATTTTGCATTCACTGTTCGAAATTTTAAAGGTTGAAAATAATAAAAGACTAATTAACATGTATACCCGAGCTTATCACTATATCATTTCATTTCGACATAATCACGTAAATCAGTTTTAAAAATGGAAAATTAAAAATACATCTGGCTTAAAAAGGTCTTCATTTTAAACACCCAAACGCCAACGAGTGATTTAAAGTCTTTCAAAGTCACTCAGACAGAAAAGTTCACACTACAGATACTTGTGTACACAGGTAGTGGGATATACAGATGTTTTACACAATCTCAGCGACTTTGGGAAAAAATTATGTGGAATTCAATGCTAGTTCGTGGATGCTTGTTCCACAGATTATTTATAACATACTTCTCGGACTGATCAGGATCTCGTAGATCCGGAATAATATCTCAAAGAAGATGCAGATGTCTGTAAGTTACAACCATGTACAAACGTGGCATATATATCACGTCATACTTACAATTAATTATGTGATGATAAATCTTATACAGATTTAAGTAAATCTTTGCCAAGTAAGGATCATTTGAAAAATTATAACTTAGTTGTCTCTCTATATACATGTACCGAGGAACATGCATACAATTAAAATGTACAGTATACTAGTATAATGAAAGCTATTGTTCAATACTCCCTCTGAATATTGCATTTATTTACAGTAGTGATGAAGAGTTGATATTTTTTTTTACCTTTAACTCAGTAACACAAATAGGGTTACATCTAGAGCGTACATCAAATTGCTTTATAAAAGATCGTTTTATTTCCACACAAAAATCAGCTAATTTTATTCATACAGATGATGTACCGGCATATATATAATAGAAAATATTTACATGTGCTATGATATTCTCTCTCTGTCTCCCTCTCTCAAATGAGACCTGGTCCGCAACTTTGCGATTATTTCGATAGCGAAAAACTCTTGTACATTACATATAAGAATATTTTTACTTCTTTTTGAAAGAACGATAATTGAAAACTTCAATTTATAATTTTTTTGGTTTTAAGACCAAAGCGGAAAATAAGTTCATATAAAAATGAAGTGCATAATAGAATTTGACAATTCTGGGCATTTCTATATTAAAGTAATGTGTGAACGTGTGAACACAAGCAGAACACTGTCCACTAGTACAGAAAAATATTCGGGTTTCAATGGAATTAACCCATTTTCAATACAAAGCGTGGCCGTCCATAAAGCTATTTGTTGGAACGGCCTCATTTGTATTCAATAAATACTTAGTATATCAATTAAATATTTGTTTATCACTTTGCCCGTGTACTTCACAATATCACAGGCACCAGTCGTAACTAATGAGAATTTTTCTTGAGAAAGCCATGTTAGCTCAAATAAGACATAGGCGCAAGAGAGATATCTTGATCAAAAAAGTATGTAGTCTGTAAATTTTTTACATTTCGACTTTATTCCTTTATCACTTAGAAAATCCAAACTGCCACCAAACTGCTTGTCTTCAATTCATTTGGTACGACGTGAAAAGGGAGGTAATTAGGTCTAAACTTGTGCAAATCTTACAGAAAATAGGGTGAGGTAACAAAAAGGGGGGGGGGTCAAAATTATGAACAGGAATATTTCAAGAAAATATTATTTTTCCTTCTCGAGAAGAGCAAGGGGGGGGGGGGGCTAGGATAGGTCAGCAAATTAGGGGACAGTCTTATATATAAGTGGGACTAGAAAAGGGTCAGAATTTGAAGTTATAAAAGATAACTTTATAGGAAGACAGACTATTATATCGTCTCCAGAAGAACCAGATCACATTTATCTGATTAAGATCATAGCTTAATTTCTATTTAAGGTGGGATTCTTCTCATATTTCTAGAATTTAAAAATCATTTAATTTCTATAAAATAATTGATTCTGATTGGATAAAAAATTCTTTTGATAACTGCATCAATAGAATCTGGAGTTCACTTGCACTTGACAGCCGGAACTACTATGGCTAACTTGACATGTATATTTCAGCTTCCATATTACTTTGTGAAAGAAAAATGAAATAATTTTACTCTATTTTCCTGAATTTCAAAATTTGTCCGTTACGTTCCTGAGTTATTTTCTACTTTCGTTTCTTTTCGAATTATCCCCCTTTGCTAAACAAATCAGATCGTCTGCAAATGACAACAATGCAGTTGCGGGAAAAAAGGAAAGAAATCATCATACATACGTTAAATGTTTGTCTTTGAGATAACTGGTATGAACAATAGAACTGTGAAGAAATGTTTTTATGCTTCCAAAGCGGGGAAATGCCGTTAATCTGATAATTCTTAGGAAACGAATGCATGAGAAAAACGACGCTGAGCGAGGACGGGTATTCTTTCAAAGTTCAACAGTCGGCAACAGACTCTTCCAGATTTTGAAGCATGTTGTATTATGCATGGACATGTTGTGATACGTATATATATGTTCGATTTGAAATTCAGATGAAGAGATGCGCATATGAAACCGAAAATTTCTGTGAACTAGAAAGAGTTCTTAAGGTTATATTTGAGTAGCTTCCCTTTACATTTACGAATCTAAAGATATCAGCTTACAGGAGGAACATAGCAAAAATTAATAACACAACAGGTAAGTTTTTGTGTTAAAACTGTTTTTGTTAGAAAAACTTAGTAATGACACGACAATATTTGAACATGTTGTTTGTTCGTAATACTCTGCGTCTGAAAATTTAGGCAACTAAGCTAGGCCTATATGTTGGACAGTCATTCGATCGTTCTAAAGTTAAATCTCATCATTGAAAGATAAATATCAAATGATAGGAAATAAATCTTATAATTTTTTCTTTCGTCGATATATCATAGAAAGCTTGGACGTAAAATTTCATCAATCCAATGCGCGTAGATCTGTACATTCAGCCATTTTGAATTTCAGCAACGTTGTTGTAATGTATTCCTACGCACAGTCTTCGATGCTTAAATTAAATATTAAAGTGAAAGAAAGTTTCATTTTATTATTTTTAAACCATAATTAAATGATAAGAAATGAAAGTAATATTTTTTTCTTTGACCGAAGTATCAAACAAAAATTTGGACGGAAAACGTTTTCATCAATGCGCTACGCGCATTGATGACGTTTTCCGTCCAAATTTTTGTTTGATATTTCGGTCAAAGAAAAAAATATTACATTCATTTCTTAAATCAACGAAATTTTCACAGAATCAAGAAAACAATATCACTAGGTGATGGTATCAGTTAGATTAAATTTGACCGTTTTATATTAGAGGCAAGGTCAAGTCAAGGTTATTACCTTTTCCCTGGGCATTAAGAATAAAAAATTACTGTTGCCAATCATGCGATGCCTACTTCTATTTCAAAAGATTAAATGTTTTTCTTTTTGCATAAAGAGATATTACCATATAGGGTCTATAAGATGATATAACCAAATTGACATAAATAATTTAACTAATACGGATATTGGCTAATCCGAATTTTCTCTATTTTTCTTAATTTTTTAGGATATTTTAGTTATTTTTATATGCTTCCTATATTTAATTTTTTCTTATTTTCACATATGGTAAAATTGATACAAAAAGATACAAAATGATATAAAAACAAAACGTTTTGATCGCTAACTAAGAGAGAAAAAACACTTTTTACGGATTTTTGGCTCAAATCTGTACTTAGATTGGAAGCTTTTAAAAGCTAACATAATTGTAGTTTGTTTAGAAAACCATATTTATTTGATATATTTTTAACAAACTTTAGTCCCTTATCATTAATTAAACTTACATTTAAAAATTTCTTCAAGTCTTTGATTGTGTAAATATTATAACTAAATTCATTGTTCTATAATAATTTTGAGAGGCAGAAAATAAGATATTTTCATATGCCGCCATTCCGCCAAAAATATAGTCCTTGCTAGATTTCAAACTCAGTAAACCATTTCTATTTAAAGTTGTACAATTGTGATGAGGGAAGGAAAATATGATCTTTTAAATCTCTTACATCTAAATATATAAAACATATAAGCAAATATACTTTGAATATTTCATCTAGTCAGAAACCCGACAAGAATCCCTCCTTAAGGTAAATTCAAAATCCAAACTATGGAGACAACGGTGTTTGCACAGTGGGATGTCAATTTGCATACTGTCAAAGAAATCAAAACCATTTAGCATTTGTGACTAGTAACCTTTTGTTTCATATGTTAAATATTTCAACTTACAGAATGAGATTATTGCCCCCCCCCCCCTCCAGCTTGTAATCCTGTCTTCTCTCCTGAAAAATAACTTTTGTACAATATACTGGGCCCTTTGGAATATCGAGTATTTATTAATATAATGCTTCTTCACAAAGATTGGACTTTCTGAATTCTATCAGCAAACCTCCGACCGCTGAATCATCGTCATTGTACACAGTACTGTAAAAGTCGCGTCACATTCAAGTACACTCTTGTCGTATATTTTTGTTTCTGTGCCAGACAAACTCTAAGTTAACCCTCTCCATGCCTCCTTTCTCTCTTGCTCGTCAACATTTGTCTCGTAATTGTGCTTTAGGCATCACAGACGATATAAAACATGGCTACCAATTTTCGCACCGAATGTTAAAGTCCTCAAAATGTTTGAATATATAGGCCATTGTCATAATTTGTGACACCTAAATGGAAATTTTATTATGGTGTTTTTTATTCAGATAATGGATTTTAATTTGATTGCTACTTCTGCACCGTTTCCTTGCAGCAAGGTAGGCAATTGGTTTTATTTTCTTAAAAAATACACGTTTTTGCGAGTTTCTTTTTTACTGCTTTTTTGGTCATTTTCTCGTATCTTCATCACAAAGGCACATCTAAGTAGGGTAACTCTCATCACTGGCACTCGCGGTACTACATCAAAAGATAACGATCAAAAGAGTACAGACAAGAGCCTTACATAACGTCTGTTCCTAAAACAATACATCCGTGACGTATGAATGTGAAGTGTCTAAACGCTTGTTTGTTTGGCCCCATATTTTATGATTTTTTATGTTGCTGAAATAAGTATCGCCTTTGGGTTAATGAAGGGTCTCCTCAGCGCTGTCTACCATTCGCAAGTCGAAGGACTGGGTAAGTGTTTGGTCGGTGTGAGTTGTTATTTAGACACAGTAATATAGTTGTTTTTATTAATTAGCAAAGAATTTTGATGTACTCGAAGTTGCTTTTCCTGGGTTTTTTCATGAACCACGTGATTTTCCATGCATTTGTTTGATGTACAAAATACAGAGGGAAATCAGAATAGAAATACATGTATACTTATATGATAAAGGAACTGTTATCTACAATTCATTTTCTTGCAAGTTATCCTTGCTTTGAACTAAATTTTATTCTTTCTTAACTCAAATTTGAATGTATTATTTTCTAAACAACGAGTCTAAAACAAAGGCCATAACAATATAATTTAAGAAACTTCCGTGCAACTAAACAGCAAATCTGCTGTTTCCCATAATTTTCTGTAAAGGTTCAGACGCGATATGCAGAGATCAAATATTATTTTACTGTGCTCATTATAGTATTATGCACCTAGGCAATTATGCTTTCTACATTATGAATAGAGAAGGGTGCATAAAACGAGCTTGACTTACTTTAGCCTTAAATACACCCTTCTCCTCAACTAAACATTTTGATAAAACATTTGATATCGCTTTGAAGAAAAAGTAAATGTTTATAGAACATTTAAACGTTTCTCACCTATTTGTACAGTTGTATTTTTGTTTAAGCTTATTCAAGAAATGTATTTCAATTATGTCTGACCTGATATTAACTTTCACCCAGACATTTTTTTATCCAGCATGTCAGTACTTAATGTTAACTATGTCGAGATGAAAATTATTAGATTATATATTCATAATTACTTTTTAAAAAGCTGATACACATTACTTCGGAGTGCATTCAAATTATTTATTTCCTTCAGCGTAAATTAATACCATACTTTTTTCCTTGGGGATGCGAAAGATTATGGAGAAATCATATCTTACGTAAATTTATGATAATCATCATACCTTCAGTACATAGGAAATTGTACATACCTGTAAAATGACATGTAATTAAAACAAACAACCTGCATTGAGAATAAGTCTGAATTTACCACATATTGTAGGAATAGTACTAGTCCATGCAAGTGATTTTTTTTTTGTCAACTTGCGTACTGAATCGTGGAATTGTTCAAGGAAATTTAACTTTTTAAAATAAATTATTAAAATATGTTAAGATTTTAAAGATATTTATAGTTGATTAAGAAACAGAGCTAAATTTTTTGATGGAAATTAATGGACGAAGACGATATGAAAGTCTGTCACCCTAAGTAATTTTTTTCGGCATCTTTTCATTAATCGCGCCAAGGAACACTTCGTAAGGTCAATCAGAGATATGTTTTGGTTCCAGATATGCCAGAACACATTCTTTTTATGATGCACGATTGCTGAGAAACAATAATGTGCATACGCTTTACGTGCAGATGTAGATAAATTACTTGAATGTTTGACAGTTTGTCGTTGTCTTATGGGCTCCAAGAGTATGCAAAGATGTCAAAGCCCTGCTGTGAGGTTTCATCATGATCGTAAATAATTCGTCCAATGCCACTTGCTTTATCCATTCAGTTCATGCATGTGTTCCAAGTATCTTTATTATTTTTTGGTGCTGAAAAGTATCAGGTTGAAAGAAACTTATTCTCTTCGACTGGCAAATGGATAAACAAACAAGGACGTTTTACCATGTATTAGTTTCCTATAGTAACAACATGATCGCACTTTTTTATGTTGTACTTACATTCCCAAGTAAATGAAATTACAGGATCTATAAATACTGATAATATTGCTTGTTCAGATGCATAAGGTTCAAGTACGTCCTAAATACCATGAAGTAAGTCCTTGGTAACGTTACAAACTGATGAACACCTTCATTGAATCTCGCAATGCAACAGGTATAACATTTTTATCATCTAACAGACCAAAGCCATTTCTAAAAATAATTTGGAAATTTTACAAGAGGTTTATTGTTTGCATTTAAATATAGATTTTAATCCTTTTTCTCCTTTCCGTTTTTTTTTTCTTTTCTTAAGTGATCACGAAACATGTACTCTTACTGAAAGAGTACAACTTGGATCTAATCCGAACAAAACACAAGCTGATTAACTAATTGCTGTTCCGACAAAGCAGTCTCGACCGATTGTAGATCATGTATGGTATCCCCTAAAACAATATCAAATATATCATATATTTGATATTATGTGAGCCAGTTACTAGGAGAGTATTAAAATTGTATTTCAATAATTAATTATACACTTTTCATTTTCGCACAATTTTCAACATTTTCCCTCAAGTCCAGCTTCTTAATTTAATACATGTGTACCTACTTGAACCCATGAAGTGCACGTTAGAGCATAATCAATTTAAAGTTCATATTAATAATAGCAAGAATTAAAAATACTTAATACATTTTTTGAATTAACAAAGGAAAGGTGAAATTCACGAACGAAAATATATTTATATCTATCAAAACTTTGCTAGGAATGGAAGAATTACATGTAAGTACTCGTAATTATAATTAAAAACATTTATAATTTTTCGAATTAAATGGTTATATATTAATTTTGTATATAAAATAATTAACTGTCCCGATAATTTAAGGTTAAATTCTCTCAATTCGGCTCAATAGTTATACATACAGGAACATATAGAAAATTTTATATAACAAAAAACTTGGAACAATAATGAAGTATTATAAGAGTGAATATATATACAACTTTGGTGTAATTGTAATTTGCACTTATTTACCAATTGAAAACAGATGTATATAAGGAATCCAAAAACATGCCATGTGTCAGAAAAAAGACCAGCCTTCGCGCGAGTTTCTCTGTAACACATACACGTTTTTATCATAAACACAGGGAAACATGAGGTTTTTATTATCGTGACATATATAATGCAGAGAAATAATTAGTTAAACATGTTTTTTTTTTTTTTAAAAAAAACAACAACAACGATATTTAATAATTTGAGGGAAGTGGGGAACATTGCGATACAAAGTAATAATGATAATAAAAAGAATACCTGAAACAGTCCTCTAGACGAAAACTACTTTTTATATTTGTACATAATTTTTTCAAAGAATCAACATTATTTTGGCATATGACTTCACAAAACTTCATAGACTTTGGATTAGAACAAAATTTTTGGTTCAGAAAATCTTTCCTCAATTGATATTCATCTCCTATATGATTACTATCGCATAACCTACAAAATCTTTCATTTCTTTGAGTACCATTCCATCTACCTGTTTCAAGTGGAAGGTGGTGGTTTGTGGTTCTAAATTTAACTAAAGTTTTTTTTTCTAAATTTACATGAAAATAGTGTTAAATATTTTTCGCACTCAAAATTGGTTTTAAAAATTCTATAATTTAAACTTTTTGAAGATTCTTGAACTTCATTATTCCACTTTTGAATGTATTGATCTTTTAATCTTTGTTTGACTGTAGCAGCTATCCAATTTACATTATGGAAATATTGCTCGTACTATATATTTGATAAAACACATCTGTCAAAAATATTTTGTTCAAATGAAATCCAGTAGTTTGTCATTTCTCCTTTATCATATTGTTTACGTAAATACATATATACAATACTACACAATTTGTTTTCTTTTCCATGGACAAGTTTTGCCCAATATTTTATCATTCTTGAGTATATATTTACGTATAATGGGAACCGTCCAGTACACAATACAGGCAAATGATAAAGATACTACATTATGGAAACATATGATAAGATTTTAAGAAATTCGTGACAGAATGAAATTGAAATTATTTTTAAATAACCAAAAATGAGACTTCATAAATGGCATTTAACAAATTAGTGTTTCTCTTTGTTTTGTACCTTTCAATATACTCGTACATGTATATTGATAAAGCTTCTTAATTATTTTTTTTTTTGGGGGGGGGGGGTTGAGGGCTTCAAGTTGCAAGTTGATTTTTTTAGATTCAGAATTTAGTTGTCAATATATACTCCGAAGCTTTGTCTCGTTGTCAATATCAGTATTTTTCTGGTCAGTATAAAATCATATTGCCATCAAAAGTCCATAATGTAAAAGTACATATTGACTTAAATGTTCGCTATTTTTTCTGAAAGATAGGCCTGGGTAATAATTATAAAAAAAACAACAACAAAGAAACGAACATCAGCATTTTGCGACAGTTGGTCATCATCTATCAATTAGGAACAATAAAATATATCGCCCGGTAATTATTTATCTTCCCACGAACCTATATACCTGTCTTCAGCCATTAACTTCGGTTTCTGTTTACTGTTGTGGTGCTTTACCAACATACATGCACACTTCGGACGTTTTGTTCCTTCACCTGTAACATGCCAGGCGAATTTTTTGTTTTATCCACCTTCTCTAGATCCCCGCCCTATACTTTTGAACAAATGCTATATTTATCCCCAAAAGATAGTAAGTTTAAATACATTTTTTTGAGTTCCACCACTTTTAATTATCATTTATCATACAAATATGTTTAAATGCATAAAGAAAATGAACTTTAAATATATATTTTATTGGGTTTATACTGTATAGTATATATTAACTCCAAATGATCTAATTTGAGTGCTCCTTCATTAATCATTTATTCTTTTGCAAAATTGCCCGATCTCCCATATTGAAACTTCTGTTACCTTCTGGGACTTTAAACAACCGATAGCAATGATTACAACACGAAAGTGTAAAATTAAATTAGCGGCGATAATAAAAGTCAGTAATATATATTACCAGGAGGAAAACAGATATAACAATGAGGACTTATTGGGCCAAGAAAGTCGAAGCAAACGTATTTCAGGCTATTGTGAGGAGAGGGGTCAGCATTCGCGTTCAACACTAGCCAGTGAAACCAAAACACTAATTTTCTTGGCCTGATGTTTTCCCTCGCGTCAATACCGTACAACTTGGAGGTTGTAGAAACAATGTAGACACCCATCGACCAGTTAGATGGTTTAAGTCATTATACACCTGAAAACGTTGATTTTCGTTTACCTATAACGAAGAAGTTTTTTAAAGATTGACAGTTTTAATTATGTGCTAATTTAAATCCAGTCTGCATTGCTTAAGACATTGGATTTTCATAGTTTGCTTAAAACATTATACGTGTGTCTTGGACGAACGTTCTTCAGCAATGAAATGGAACTAAAAGCGCGCAACAGTTTCTTTTTCTTCACGTCGCTTCTTCTGTTGAAATAAGGATTTCTAATACTTATCATTCCTAAGCTTGCATTGATATTCAAAATGTGAACATATATTGGTAGATTTAGTGTACACTAAATAGTTCTAGATCATGAATTACTGTATTTCTGCCTTTCCTACTCAGACTCGGCGAACGTCCATACCACTCTCCAGGGATTCGACGAAACGGAGAAAGCAATGTGTCAACCATGGACGGTATAAATCTACCCGGCTCATGACACCGCACTCAGATGAAAGTGAAGAAGAAACCAATAATTGCGTCAACTGTGATGCGCAAAGGTCTACAAATAACAAACACAGCCGTCAGGTAGAAAACACAAACAGAAAGAGTTCAGATGGCAATATGGCGTTCCCTGCCCTCTCTGTGATGGGTGGCGGGGGACAGGTTGTCAGATCCCGAAGTAAAGTCAGCATCAATGAACCCGATGACGAACAACGAAGCCCATACCGAAACAGCATCAACTTAAAAAACAAGGAAACGGTCATTCTCAATGTTGGTGGACAAATTTTCGAAACATATAAACAAACACTTAGCAGATTAAAATCGTGTAAGCTGGCCAGTGAATCAGAACTTCGAAGATATTATCGTGAAAGCAAGGACGACTACTTTTTCGACAGGGATCCGCAGTTATTCAGTGTTGTGTTGAATTATTTACGGACAAATGAACTTCATCTGCCAACGTATCTTTGTGGCCCAGCAGTCCAGAGGGAATTTGACTACTGGGGGATCGAGGAAGAGGACATAGAACGATGCTGTTGGCAGCCCTACAACACGTGGAAAACTCAAAACAAGTCTTTGGAGAAGTTGGAGTACGATCGAAAAAGATCCATGACTCAGCAGCATTTAGAGAAAGACAGGAACAGCCCACATTTCTGGACCCGATGTAAAGCTGTAGTGTGGAACTTCCTTCAAAACCCAAATACCTCACTAGGTGCTAAGGTAAGTCACTTGGTTAATTTCTTTCATTTGTACATTAAGGCAATATACAGGGTGTTTTTGCATAACTGTTGTACTGGAGAAACGCATGAAAAACTACCCCAGTCCCCCACGCTTTCCAACCTATACTATCTTCTGTTAGTGTAGCAGCGCTGGTAATTATGGTACTTTAGAACTACTCTATATGTGGTTGGGAGAGTAGAAGCAAAGAAGCTTAATTTACTGTTCTATAGAAGAGTCAGTCCCTTTTCAATTTTTTTGGCTGCTTTTTTTGTGGCAAAATATTTGATTATTGCGTCCTTGATATAAGTAATGAAGAGTATTTTGGATTAAACAATATATTTGCCTTGTGTTGTCAAATGATATACTCTAGTCTAATAGTCAGTAAACATTGATTAAGTATCTAATAGTGTATACATCTAGTAATTTAGTGCATTTAAGTCAGCTACACTCTGTGAAATCGTTAACATTCTTCACTAAAATTCTGTTGATTTTCAAGCGATTGATTGCTTGACCAGTTATTATTTGTATGCATATACATACAACTCAATGGAAAAACAAAAGCAAACAAAAAGAAAACAAAAATAACTAGCAGCTATAGGTGTCATTCCATTTACTTCATTGGTCAATATGCAGAGAATATTGTCACTTTTTTTTTTTTTTTTTTTTTTTTTTTTGCCGTTCATAGTAACATCTTCGCAAGTGATGGGCCTAATCTGAGTTGCATCATCAAATAACTAGACCTCTAGAAAATAACGATACTATGGTGTGTGGTCCATTGTTATATTTTTATACAGTTTTGACATTAAAAGCAGATGGCTTTCTTTGATTAATCCACCCTTTGTTTCCAGACTCGAAAAAACAAAAGAAAATTAAGAAAAACCAAAACAAAAACCGTAAATGGCAATATATATGGAGTGAAAAAATCTTATTTAATGTTTTAAAAATCATTTTAAATTTTAAAATCATTGTTACAAGTGTAAAAATTGCTTCAAATTCAATATCTTTTTGAAAATGCTGTTACTTTTGTAGATACAATGTAAATTTAGAGTACAGTGTACATGCATTGAATTTATTGGTTGATGTGACTGTACTGTATACTTTTAGGGATATAGTATTCTGCTCACTGCTGTACATATATATATATATATATATATATATATATATATATATATATATATATATATATATATATATGTATATATATATATATATATATATATATAGGAAATGAATACGTTTAAAGCCAATGATAAACAAGAAAAATTAACCAAAATCAATCCATGAAGCATTTATATATGTATGTATATGTATAAATAAAAGATATCTCCGAAAACATGACTGACGTGTCCATCAAAAAATAACATTTATCAGGTGATAATGGCCACAAACTCAAGGTTTACATAAATATATTGTTATTACATTGATTTTTCCTGTGAAGTGAGAAAAAATATACCTTAATTTTCCTGAGATGTACACACTAATTAGCAGTGGACGTTATATAAATAGATGTTTGGCTCTCAAGCATCGCTGGAACTGCTGATATCTTTGTTAGAGTCTTTGTATCGATAAGCTAAATGTAAATCAAAGGACTAATTATAGACTGTTCAGCTTTGTTTCGTAGTATATCATCGCTATTTTGTAAGGTAGGACAAAACAGGGGAATTAGCACTTTTGAAAATAACCTGAATATCATATACCGGTATATGGGGTTGAGGAGATAGGTTTTTTTGTTTTTGTCTGTTTTTTTTCTTTTGCTTTTTTTTTGTGTGTTTTTTGATGCGAAAGCGCGAAAATAGCAATAAACGAAACAGAATCATACAGTACAAGTTTAAAACATGTCACTGGTTCTGAAACTTGATGGAACTTGATTAATGACTTATAGCAAAGATAGAGATTCAAGGTCGCATGTTATTAAGTTATGCGGGATTTGAACAAAGTAAATGCACCAAAATATCCCTGACATATTATCATTTGGACATAATAAGGTTATAGTCACTGTGGTTTTATCTACTAAATTTCAAAACACACTTATTATCAAACAGAGTTAAATGTAAAGGAAAAATTATTCTATTATTAAATACATGTATAAATGCTGAAAACCTAGTAATAAATATGTATTACATTACATGTTCACATGCATGCATATAGAGGTGAGGACATTGGTTTTTTATTAATGCGAAAGCGCAAAATTAGCATGAACAAAACCGAGACTGCGAATACACTACATACTGTATCTATTTATGATAATTATGTTAAAATTTGATTGAAACGTGATAAATTAATAAATATGGTTGGCTGAAATAGATTCAAGGTCGGACGAAGTATTGCTGATATTAAAAAAAAAACATCTAGGTCATGTGTGATTTGAACTTATAGTAAATGGACCAAAATATTCATAATGCAGCACTGCACAAAATGATTTGATGAATAAAATCACAGTTGGTCAAACTGATATCAAAACACCTGAAACAAATATAATAAAATAGAGTTAAATGTATTTCACTGTAATATGAAAACACGAAAATAATTCGAATATTATCTGCATGTGTAATTGCTGAAAACTTAGTTATATGTATTATTAATTACATTATTATTAATATTACAATGTATTTTTACAGGTTCAAAACCTTTTATACTTATTGTAAGCCTGCAAATATCATATCTTTGTGGATTTTTAAATATAAAATTGTTTGGTTCATATATAACACCCCCCCCCAAAAAAAAACAAAAACAAGATAACATTCTAGCTGTCCTGTTTTAATTTTCGTAATGACCCCTACGGAGTCAGAACATGACATGATCAAGATTATCCCCAACATCCGTCTACCCCCTAAATGTTATTAGGGCCACGTGTAGGATGTATACAGAAATAAGTCATGATATACGATATAGCAGTGGTATGTCTTGTATCCTCAGTAATGCCGGAAATTTTAAAGAATTCTCAATCAAAGATCTTATTCTCAATGAAGGTATTTAATAAATTAGGACAGTTTTCGAAAAGGGCAACCCAGAAGATTAGTAATGAAATGTGCTGAAGTTGCAATAAACTAGAATATACATGTATATGTATAGTATTAGGTCAGAACTATACACATTTTAAGTAATTAACACCTATAGCCGATAAACTAGGAAATGCGGCTTCTCATATATTTTCACCTCCAACAATAGGAATACAGTGCATACGAAAATTGGGAGGGGTAAACCGTATTATTTACTAAATGCATTGATTAAAAACATCTTCGCCGGCCAAGAGTGACGATCCGCTCCTCTCCTCTGTGAAAAGAGGAGAGGAGCGGATCGTCACCCTTGGCTAGCGAATATGTGATAAAAAGGGATCATCAATGATTGAAACTATTTCATGTACATGTATATTAATATGGCGAAATATCCCTCCAATTTGATAATTAAATGACACTTGAGATTCACAATTTATCTATTGCAATAAAGATGTGGTAAAATCGGCATGAAAAAAGTGGATTTTAAGATTAAATTTTATATTAAATTTATATCTTTTATAGTATCTAATGTATTTCTGAGATTCTGAATTTGGATCCCATCTATTTGAAATGTAGTAGCTTTGTTGCTTCTACGAGGGGGGTGGGGGGGGGTGTAGGGGAGAACTTGAATATACACTACATGGAAATACATGCATATTAGTACTATTAACTTAAGCCCTTCTGTTCTTGAGAATATTTTATCCATGGATTTGAATAGACTTGAATGTACACTAAATGGGGAGACTTCCAACTGGTTCTCCTATATTTGAAAAGAGTTTTAGAATGTTTTTTTTTTCTTAGTTTAAATTCTCATGTTAAACTTTTATTCATTATTGTGGCCCGAGTATGATTTGAACAAACTAAAATGTACACGATAGGTTGATTCTAAGATACATCTATCAATATAACTAATTAAACCTCTAGCTTAGATTAGCAAAAATTAAAAATTAATTTACTAAGCTTCGATAGAATTGAAATTGACGCCAGATAAGAATGTATATTGAAATGAAATATTATATTTGCGATAATTACAAGTGACAAACATAATAAAAGAACTGAAGGTGTGAAAGGGGGTCTAATGAGATTAAGTAAACGTAGAACTAAAAAAAAAATAAGAAAAAAAAAACAAACAAGAAAAAAAAAAAGATCGAAAAATTTCCCGAAAAAAATAAGACAATCAGATTAGATCTTCGCGTAGGAAGTAAATAGGCCTTATAATTTAACTTCCATTGTTAAATTGGAAAAAAAAGACGCACCCGATAATATAAAAATAGGACATGTTTTTAAAGTATGTAGAGATCAAATATCAGTTATATTGAATAATCACGAACTGTTACTACATCGAAGACGACAAGTACCTTGTAATAAATACTGAGAAGAACTGATTTCCTGAAACAAGAGACCGTGAGAAAAGGGTTTTTTTCCCCACACAGAAATTTTAAGCCTTTTTGCGATTTTTAATCATTTGATTTGAATGTATATTTCTAAGTTCACTGTACATGTTTTCGTTTAAACAAAACAAAAACAAACAAACGAACAAACAAACAAAAAAATATGAATTTATAAAAAGAAAATGTATTTCTTTTAGTTACACTTTTTTTTTTTTTTTTTTTTTTTGTAAATTTTTTAAATGTTCCCCAGATAACTTAAGTTATCTAGTCATGACTTATATCAATCACTTTAACGTTCAGCTATAAAGATTCAAAAGGATTTTTGACGTTCCATTATGAATTTGTCGTAATCGTTCAGTAATCTTTTTAATTATTTTTCACAATATATTATTTTTGAGTCAGACCTTAACTTGTCTATATATGTTGCAATCTGGATCTACGAATTCAAGTTGCAAACTTTTCGCCATTGTTGGTGATGATCTAATTTCTACCCAAAACCTACTTCAATACTTGTCTCAATACAGTATTTTATTTTGATCTGAACACTTTCTTGATATTTACTACAAGGTGTACTAGAAATTTCGGCCCTTACATTATTCACCCTCCAGATCTCAATTGATTCACTTTACAAACACCAGCTGCTAGGTGTACGTTAAATACTGTTTTTCCTTTTCATTCATAATTGACGTATGTATGTATATATATACAGTTGATTAATAACAGCCTTAGTTTTTATTTCGCAAACAGACTGTCCTTTTAGCTTTAATAAATTCGTTGCTATGAGACAACGTTTCTAAGATAAGATTAAACATCGGCAATTTTGATCAAACAAGATCTCGTTTCCTAAAATACCCACAAAACATCGAGCAATATGAAATCAGTGCACCACACCCTATTCAATCTGCGGAGTCATAATATCGGATTATATGATTATTTCTATAGACAAAAATAGTTTGCCTACAAAGAGAAGAAGATCATATATCATATTCATAGTCTGTGAAAAAAGTCAATCACTGACTATCATGGTACTAAAATACATATTTATTGTTTTTTTCTATATATATAATTCAAAAGTACTTAAAAGATGATGTCACACAGCAAAAATAATCATAAAAGAAAAAGAAAATGCACAGTTTTCAAATTTCATTCAAAATTTCTGGATTTCATAATCCGTCTTCAGGTGTACAGAATTTGAACTTTTGAGTTCAAATTATGTACTCCTGAAGACGGATTATGAAATCCAGAAAGCGCTTGTGTTGAATGAAATTTGGAAACTGTGCATTTTCTTTTATGATTTTATATATATATATATATATATATATATATATATATATATATATATATATATATATATATATATATATATATATATATATATATATAGTATTGAGATTATCAAAAACATCTGTCTGACGTTTTGCAAAGATTATATAGTTTTTTGGTGCCAAAAACTGGTACATGTGTGTTTTTCTAGCGCATTCTGAATAGCATCCTGCAATTATTAGAATTTGTATAAATGATTTAAAATCATTTATTATCTTTTCAGATATATGCGTGGATTTCCATCATTTTTGTCTTCCTTTCTATTTTCTCATTCTGCGCGGAAACGCATCCATTATTTCGGATTTCAAAACATACAGATTTCCTCAAGGACTATGAAACTCTATACGATCTCTTCACATTTTCCAACATTCACGAAGCCCGAAACCACACGGTCATCCAATCGAACACAACCACCGCCGATCCCGTGGTTCCGAAAAATGACACAGTAGTTCATCCGGCGCTCATTATCATGGACCTTGTTTGTGTGTCGTTTTTTACGGTGGAATTTTTAACCCGATTCATTTTTTGTCCCCGGAAGTGCCAATTTATTACCGCCTTACAAAACATAATCGATTTCGTTGCTATACTTCCAGATTATATCGAATTTTTCTTAAAGCTTTCCAATCCACAAGGAAATGACTGGCCTTTCATGGACTTCATTTTTATTTTACGCATGTTAAGGTTATGTCGTATATTTAGACTCATCCGCCATGTTCCTGGACTATGGATATTACTTTATACTCTAAAGGCTAGTTTTAATGAACTCCTCCTTATGTTTGTCTTTCTGCTGATCGGGATGGTCATCTTTGCCTCCTTGATACATTTTGCGGAACCGGACAGTGGCTACGACAACATTCCAATAGGTTTCTGGTGGAGTGTCATTACTATGACAACTGTGGGTTACGGTGATATGAACCCTGCAACAGCTCCTGGCTACGTCATCGGAAGTCTCTGCGCAATATCCGGTTTATTGATGATCGCTTTCACTGTCCCAATTATTGTTAGTAACTTTGTTCTGTACTACACTCATGTCCAGTACGGTTGTATTCGCCATGGACGAGATAAATCTAAGTTACTGGAAATCACGAGCGATGAGGAGGAAGAAGATGAAAAAGACGAAAGTTTGAAGGACATTTGCTGTCAGGTGGATGAGGTGAAGCAGACGAAAGAGGATGAAAAGGAAGATAAACAGTCTGAATTAACTGAGAATGGTCATTCTCGAGGAACAGATGGCAACTGCAATAACCTTGGATGAAATGTATAAATACCATGAATATGATTTAGTTTGATCAACTTACCTTTTCAATTGTTTGTTCAATTGTTAATAGACCTTCTACATGCAATGTATTGTCATATTTTGAACGTTTATCTGTAACGTAGTTTTAAATAAGTTTTGCATTTATATTAGATTCAGGAAATTTTTCCATGAGAATTGAGCACATTTCAAATTGAATGATAGAAACAACTTCTTTATTTTAAAATTATAAGTCATGGTTCATGTATACTCATGTTCACATTCCCAATATACACAGATTTAAGATCCACTCCCGCTCTTCCGTGTACAGTGGGGACGGATTCAAAATCTATGGCTTTTATTATGATGGCACTTTTCTTGAAAAAGTTATACATTTCTTGATTTCACGTCAGATAGTGTAAAATTCTTTTTATATCACATATTTGACACATTGTTTCATTTAAATCATTCCAAGTGTCTACATTCATACAACAATGTTTCCTATTTTCATTTTTATGCATATTTTACTCTACCTTCAGGGGCATTATGAAATAAAGCAGGTTTTAGAGCGATATTAAAGATGCAGTATTGTATCTTACTAAGAAATACTATCTTTGATGATAATTAAGGTATCGATATATCCCTTAAATAATATCGATTGGTCGATATATCAAATTATATAGAATATAAGTCACATATCTTTTAATTCAAGAAAAAAAAAATAAAACAGACCTTTGAGAAAATTTTGTAATATCTGGTCTGACTCCAATATTAGAAATGAGTCTATAGCTTTAATAGTGTGGCTAGACGGACATTTTCAGTCCGTGTGATCTCCGGACTAATGATGCATTTTGCAAAATAAATCCGCATCTGCATGATCTTTGAAAATTTACATGTATTTAATAATTTTAAATCCATATAATAATGCATCGATACTCAAAAAGAAAAAAAATCGATATTGTATCATTTACAGTGTATATATCAATATCTATACTTATAAGGTATTGATGGCATTGAAAATATCTGCAATAAATGTTATATACCGTAGTTGTAGGAAAGTTTTGAAAATAAAATATATAGTTACATGTAGTTGCAGAAAATTAGGGGGGAAATTGGAGACATTTCGTCCTTGTTCTTTAAGTTGGACGCGTATTATATAAGGCAGAGTGCTTGGCTGGATGACCGATTTTATTGAACGTATTATGAAAATATTTCCTACTCATTTCCGCCGAAATATGGCTTAAAGATTGCCGACTCGGCGTTAAACAATATTTAATCAATCAGTCATACAAAAACCCAAAACACTATAGTTATAAAGAGACGTGTAATGCTGCTTCTTTTGCATAGTTATTTATATTTTATAGAATGATTTATTTTTATATCTCCGAACAGTGTAATTTTTATGCCCTTATAAAATTTGGACAAAGCTATTAAACATTTAAATCAAATAAAAATTGTAAATATGTGGTATGATAGGGGCATTTGATCCACAAACATCTGAAATAAACTTGCATATAAAGCGAAAAAACCTTGCTAATTAATAACTTTTCGAAAAATATATTTTGGTGTGTATTCTAATTTACAACTTGAAATGGTGGGACTTTCCGAAAAATATGTTTTGATGTTTATCTGGCAACATGATAAGTGATAATAAGGTGCGAGATTTGTCTGTAACAAAAAACATATTTTGTAATTTCACAAACAGCACATGTTTAAAGTTTGTAATAAAGTGAAGTTCCGCACAAGGACGAAAGGTAAATATCACATTTAACTAAATATGGTATATTTATGTAACTTTTTAGTGTAAGTTATATGAATATATACGAAGAAAGAAAATTTCGTACTTATTTGCATTTTGGGGGGGGGGGGCGTAGAATTTTCGTACTGTATTTAAAAAATACATGTATACGTTATATGTTTGAACTTTTTTTCTATATGGAAATATTGTGAATGTTGCAGATTGACATCCCACAACCTAATAAAATGTGTGACTTGTATTTAGTAAAGATGCAACGACTGTATTTTGTTAGAATATAGAAATTCCAAAATAAGGACACAAAGAGAGAGTCCATCTATGTTGTTTGATACCTGTTTTTCTTGCTATTATTATTATTTTTTTACGTTTTTCTTATCCTTGTTGAATCTCTTGGACTGAAATGTCACAACTACATAAGATGGATCTGATTTTCACTTTGTTGCCACAGATAGGGCCTTTTTTCAATACGTTGTTATATTTTTGCCTGCGTGCATTGCCCCCCCCCCCCCCCAATCCTACAACGAATTATCGAGTTAAAAATTACGATTATTTGTTACTGTTATTAAACAGATGATTCTTCAATTACAACAATAAACTATTCCGTCGATTTTTTTTTTTTTTTTTTGAATTCTATGAATTCTTATTTTATCAATATTGCATATTTACGATTTTCTTGAATATTGTTTGACCTCTATTCAATATGTTGTTTTGATCATTCGAATTGTTGTCTACTCACTATACGATAAACCACACTCACCCAACGGTCTTTCTTGCAATGTTGGAGGTTACACAAGTAATAAATATATTATCACTGCATTTCTGTTTTTGTTTTATAGTTCGACTCGTACGAAACCAACCAAGGGCATACAAATTTCAATACAATGCTTATGAATCCTAACGCTTACCTGAGTGGTTCTTGAAAATACGAGGAATTTTTTAATAGGTCAAAATTTTCTTTTTAACAATTTTTAATTTAAAAGGTAGATTTCAATGACTTGAAATCGATCTAAAATTTTGCATGCAGGTAAAGCTTAGCAATTACACGTACCTAATTTGAAATTAATTACATTTTTAAAAACTTTTAGTTCAACATTGATCATTTACTTCTTCAATGGACAAAAGAAAATTTGGTAAGTGAACAATATTTTTAGAAATATCAAAACAATGTCACTCTTCAAATTCTTCAAGGGCATACCGTATACATGTAGATTCCTTGGAACATTTCTACCCATAGCTTGGACTTTCAGTTGTTACTGACCGTTCGGTGTGACGTAAATATAAGCATGTCACCGCCTACTGAAGGTCCTAAGTATCGATAGATTTGTAATATTTTACGCGAAATGACTCGTACATACCTAACCGCGAGAACTTTGCAAAATGAAAGGCGAAGATATTACAATGACAGGTATGAAATCCACCCAAGGCATCTGTCTCAGCAGTATGTAAAGAAGGAAAACACATTTTAATAAACACTTTTAGGTGATAATCATTTAATTCATTCCATATATAAAGAAATGAAATTTTTACGACATGAAAAGCTGTTTCATTTGACGCTCACAAATTCTTCATACATTTTCAGACAATGTTAATTGTGAAATTGGAAGACAATGCGAATATAATGAGATGTTTTGATACGTGACTTAAATTCGATACTTTCAGGTGATAAATATGTTCGCATTTCATTTTTAGCTCACCTGAGCCGAAGGCTCAAGTGAGCTTTTCTGGTCACTTTTTGTCCGGCGTCCGTCTGTCTGTCTGTCCGTCTGTCTGTAAACTTTTAAAATTTTCGACTTCTTCTCAAGAACCACTGGGCCAATTTCAACCAAACTTGCCACAAAGTATTCTTAGGTGAAGGGGATTCAAATTTTTTTCAAATGAAGGGCCACGCCCTCTTTCAAGGGGAGATAATAAAGAATTAGTGAAAAATTAATAGCATCTTTTAAAAATCTTCTTCTCAAGAACCACAGGGCCAGGAAAGATGAAACTCATATGGAAGCATCCTCAGGTAGTGTAGATTTAAATTTGCTCAAATCATGACCCCCGGGGGTAGGGTGGGGCCACAATGGAGGATCAAAGTTTTACATAGAAATACAAAGGAAAAATCTTTAAAAATCTTCTTCTCAAGAACAGCAAAGCCATGATGAGTCATATTTATTTGGAAGCATCCTCAGGTAGGGTAGTGTAGATTCAAGTTTATTGAAATCATGACCCCTGGGGGTAGGGTGGGACGACAATGGAGGATCAAAGTTTTACATAGAAATATGTAGGAAAAATCTTTAAAAATCTTCTCAAGAACAGCAAAGGCATGATGAATCATATTTATACTGAAGCATCCTCAGGTAGTGTAGATTCAAGTTTGTTCAAATCATGACCCCTGGGGGTAGGGTGGGGCCACAATGGAGGATCAAAGTTTTACATAGAAATATATAGGAAAAATCATTAAAAATCTTCTTCTCAAGAACAGCAAAGCCATGATGAGTCATATTTAAATGGAAGCATCCTAAGGTAGTGTAGATTCAAGTTTGTTCAAATCATGACCCCCAGGGGTAGGGTGGGGCCACAATGGACGATTAAAGTTTCACATAGAAATATATAGGAAAAATCTTTAAAAATCTTCTAATCAAGAAGAGCAAAGCCATGTGTCATATTTATATGGAAGCATCCTCAGGTAGTCTAGATTCAAGTTTGTTCAAATCATGACCCCCGGGGGTAGGATGGGGCCACAATGGAGGATCAAAGTTTTACTTAGAAATATATAGGAAAAATCTTTAAAAATCTTCTTCTCAAGAACAGCAAAGCCATGATGAGTCATATTTATATGGAAGCATCCTCAGGTAGTGTAGATTCAAATTTGTTCATCTCATGACCCCTGGGGGTAGGGCGGGGCCACAATGGAGGATCAAAGTTTTACATAGAAATATATAGGAAAAATTTTAAAAATCTTCTTCCCAGGAACAGCAAAGCCCTCATTGATCATATTTATGTGGAAGCATCCTCAGGTAGTGTAGATTCAAGTTTGTTCAAATCATGACCCCTGGGGGTAGGGTGGGGCCACAATGGAGGATCAAAGTTTTACATAGAAATATATAGGAAAAATCATTAAAAATCTTCTTCTCAAGAACAGCAAAGCCATGATGAGTCATATTTAAATGGAAGCATCCTCAGGTAGTGTAGATTCTTTTTTTGTTCAAATCATGACCCCCGGGGATAGGGTGGGGCCACAAATGAGGATCAAAGTGTAAGATAGAAATATATAGGAAATTATCTTCTTCTGAAGAACTGCAAAGCCATGATTAGTCATTTTGATTTGGAAGCATCCTCAGGTAGTGTAGATTCAAGTTTGTTAAAATGATGACCCCCGGGGAAAGGGGCGAGCCACAATGGGGGATCGAAAGTTTTACATAAGAATATATAGAAAAAATATTTCTTCTCAAGAACAGAAAAGGTGTGTTTGGTAATATTGATATGGAAGCATCCTCAGGTAGTGTAGATTCAAGTTTGCTCAAATGATGACCGCTGGGATTGGGAGGAGCCACAATAGGGGATCAAATTTTTACAAAAGAATATATGGGAAAAATTGTTTAAAATCTTCTCAAGTACAACAAAGCCATTTGTTATATTGACATGGAAGCATCATCAGGTAGTTTAAAATTCAAGCCCCCCCCTCCCCCCCCCCCTCGTAATTTTTTCAATACTGAACTGATTTGTGTTTTTGTCTAGCCAATGTGCTCAGGTGAGCGATGTGGCCCATGGGCCTCTTGTCCTGATTTAGTGATGAAATTTTTATGATATTAAAAGTTCTGAACTATTTCATTGATGTTAACAAATTTTTGATGTGTTTTCAATGTTAATTGTGGGATTGAAGACGACAAGAAAATGATTTAATACTCAGATTCAATGCTATAATAAAGTAATTTGCACGTAAGTTACAATAATAGGTCTATAGTTTTGGATTTAATATCGGTGAGCTTAGCTACAAGCGTCTGGTTAAAATCATGCCCTTTCTATTTCTAATCGACGACTTGAAGGAAAAGTAATATTACCCTTTGAAAAAAAATTCAAACGTACCAAGCCCGACTGCATTTTATACATCTAGCTTCTACAACAGTTGTAAAATTTCTAATAAAGAAGGATCTATGAAAAAAATTACACTTATTTTGGCGTCAGTAGGTTAATTGGAATGGATTATATTTTAAGGTCGCACCTCCTTTTAAGAGACGTTTCTCAATAATATATATATTTCCCAAGAATTGTGTTTGACATATTTTTCCTCACAAAAAAACTGAGATGCATTACCAGGCATTTGTGCTAGATTCCAGAGGATGCGATTTCCTATATAGTCCTAGTGGATATAACTTGAATTTCAGCTATCACAATTTTGGTGTTTATATCTTTAAAGTTTAAAGACATTTTGAAAATAGTTTAAAAATCACTAGATAATAAGAACTATAAATGTATTTGGTACGTTACAAAAGCAGTTTTTCGAGGAAGGTCTCGTCATACCTTAAACAAAATACATATGGTTTGATCAGTATTTTTTTAAATTAGTAATTGTATTATATATTTATTAAAATCTATATAAAAGTAGGAAAATCTATGCACAAAGTTACAAAATAATCTATTTTTTTATGTCAACAGTTCATTTAACAAATCAATTACTTACCGGGGGTACAAGAAAATCAACAAATCATACATATTCCTTCTCTATTTACATTATACAAATGCAGATGTGGTATAATCTTGATTTTAAAGACTCTGACGTCTTCTTTTCATTGCTTTATTTTCACAGTCCTCATTAACTGGGCTTACTTTATTTTTTTCAAACAAAGCCATGAGTTTGTTGCGCTTTTCTACAGCACACTGAACAGCGTTAATTAATTTTTCTTCCCCTGTCTTTTCTGCGGTGACAATAACCTCCACGTCATTCTGAGTTTCTTTTGATTCTTCCTTCACACTCCCTTCCTTCTGCCTACTTTTAACTTCCGGTTTTTCTACTTCCGCCCATTCTTTAGGAACTTCCTTCGCCAAGTCTATGTCCTCATCACGTCGTATATATTGAATTTGATACTCGCGTGCATGGTAGAACTGTAAACCATAAAAAGAATGGAAATTTCGGGCTA